AACAAAAGACTGTCTCCATGTCCTCTGCCGAAGCCGAATATCGTTCCATGGCTTTTACTTTGAAGGAACTCAAATGGATCAAACAACTTCTTGCAGCTTTCGGAGTCCTTCATGATCTACCAATGCGCCTCTTCTGTGATAGTAAATCAGCCATATACATTGCTGCCAACCCAGTCTTTCACGAGCGAACCAAACACGTCGAGTCTGACTGCCATTTCGTTCGTGATGCAGTCTTAGAAAAGCTCATTACCACAGAACACATCAATACAAAAGATCAGCCAGCCGATATTCTTACAAAAGCTCTACCTTCTACTATATTTTCTTATCTTCTCTCCAAGTTGGAGATTCATGCTCTTTCACCACCAACTTGAGGGAGGGTATAGAGATAAAGACTATATTAGAGATAACGATAACTACTTATGTTGTAATTATCCTTAGTACTTATCCCATAAGGAATAGGATCTCCTCTGTTGTATATAAACTCTTCTCTGTACATGAATACAATCAACAGTTTACATTCTATTATAGAAACCCAAACGACAATTCGTATTTGTGGAAAAAGAACTTCGTGCGGTTTTCAGTGAATGAGAACTGTTGGACATTTGTAACTTTGTATAGAAGATGTACTAAAGTGTAGTTTCGTTTTACTCCTCAATGGACTGTTGGGCCCCGAACGTTCATGGTTTTTCTTGTATGGGCCGATATAAATCTTTGTCGAAGGACTCGATCATTAAGCTAAGTTTTCCAACAATTAGCTAAACTACAAACTCGGAATTATATCTTTCCAAATGGATAATAACAAAATTAATTTCGTACTATAAAAATATGAAAACAGACATTGTGTAATTATCTAACATTTTGTGAATAAGTTATTTTATTAGAACAAGAAAAGTTTCAAGAAGATAAGGAGGAGTTGTGTGTTTTCGAGGTTAGAAGAAACAAAACAAAAATAGTGTTTGTTTTATCGATATTAGCTCGCAGGTAACTATGGGGAGGTCGGTGAAAAGCCGTTCCTACCGTTGGAAGAAAAATAATCAGGTGAAAGTATTGGAGCGCTATGTCGGTGGCAACTATTTTGATAAACCTTAAATTTACAACCATAGTATTATTTTAAACATTGAGCATATATTTAATTTCGTTGGAAAAAAGGAAAATTTTGTTGAGTTACTAATATTGCTATATGCGACAAAAGACACGTATGTGCATATATAGTATAGTAGTAATATATATATAAATCACTATTCACTATGTACTAATTACTATTTAAAGGCAGCTATTAGATGGAATTGGAATGCGGTGCTATGGGACGCGTCTATGATCATAATGCAGTAAACAAGTACATTTTAGGCATAACACAAATTAAAGTTTTAAAAAACAAAATTAATATTTATCTGTAAATATGAAAACAAATTATGTAAGAGCCAAAATGTAATTAAAAAAATGAAATTTCAGATTTAGAGTTTTGAGTATTAAAATTTTAAATATAGAGTTTCATTCTTAAAATCTTCAAATTTGAAGTTTATAAACTTTTTTTTGGAAAACAAAAAAATTTTACATTTAAAATTATAGGTTTTTTTTTGAAGATGTTCTTATAAACAGCTAAATAACATCAACACTACAAATTGGTGGATTGCGTGAAATCTTTGGAGGATAGGTTCGCTACTCTCCTCGCGGTTGTTTTCGGTGTCTTTCCGGTGATTGCGCATCGAAGTTAGTTTACTTTGGCTTTCCATTTTAAAGCACTGAGTTACCAGCGGTGTGGCACTCATCGCCTCCTCTCTTTGCTCTAATTCACTTATGTGCATGTAGTCTTATTCCGACAGGGTTGTAGTAGTTTGTATTGATTAGTTAAAATATGATAATTGGTCATTTAGTTTGTGTACGCACTTGTTTGACAGAAAATATAATTTTATGATTTTAGGGAGAAATGCAGTTTTATGTCTTTAATGGAAAAATGAAATTTGGTGGTTTGACGAATAACCCTAATTTTGCGAATTTTTAATTTTCATAGAAAAACATGATTTGTGGTGTTGGCAGAAAATTCAGCTTTAGCATTTATGGTGAAAAAGTGTGATTTTTTTTCCAGTTTTGGTGACTATATGATTTTGTACTTTTGACATAAACTAATTTTGAGATTTTGATAGAAAAAATCCAATTTTGTTATTACTGTAGAATTTTTTTTTTTTTTTTTGTGAAAAATGTAATTTTAAAGTATTGGCAAGAAATTATGATCTTACGGTTTTAGGAAAAGTTCAGTTTTATGATTTTTGTAAAAATAATTTTATAGTTATAGGAAACATAATTTTACTATTTTAAAAATCTATCTAATCTCTATAATATTATTTGAGAAGTCACTTTCTTAGGTGTCGCGCTCACGTTAACTCTCACGCTGGTTGATTACTATGATACCCCTAATAAATTAAAAATATATTTAAATATTATTATTTCATTTTTAAAATCATCCAAATAACAATATAAAATAAAAAGGAAATATTTATAAAATTTTCAAAACTATTTAAAACGAAAAATAAGTATATATATAATATGGTTTCATAAAAAAAGAAAGTTTACAAAATAGTAATATTTAACTTAAATATATTTTTAAATAACATAAATTATACTTTTAAGTAATAAAATACTTTATATCTATATCTTCTTAGATGAAAAACATATTTGTATATAATGTGTTTTCATTAAAAAAGTTCATACAAATAATCTTGATATTAGAAAAGAAGTATTTTTCTTTAAAAATAATTTAAACAATAAAATATTTATTTTCAAATTAATTATTTTTTGATATATCTATCTATTTTATTAGATTATTACATAAAATAATTAAGTAACATAAACTGATATATGTTTAATTGACAAAAAATTATAATTAGTATTATTGAAATATTTTTTTAGTATATTTATTTGATTATAATACCTTACAATTACAGCAAAAAATATAAATTATATTTTAATTATATAATATAATTTCTCAAAAAATCACATTTTTACTGCATATTTTAATAGATGTTAAAAACAAAAA